GTAAGGTAAACAACTTTATTTTTTTAAACTTCAGGATAAGTTTTATTATTTTCAAGCTTTCAACGAAGGTCACTTTTTTATCAAAGATAGTAGGTAGATACATAAGGCAATATGAACGGAAAATGTTCCCCTTTTGAGTATGTGCGAAGGGGAGTCTTCATTTAGAATGGCATTAACTCGATACACAAAATTAAATGTACGTATTAAAGTGACCATTGACTTGTTACATCTACGAAAGTATGTTAAAAAATGATTTCCTGATTATTAATAAGTAGTATAATAAGGATAATCATTTTATAATCGATTTTATTAAGAATTTGGTATCACTTAAGAGGATGGTGAACCTTAATTATTTAATTATAAATATAAAAGAAAAACTTAAGTACATATTCAATAAGTAAAATGAAAAGTGTAGAAGTTTAAGTCACTGTAGCTGTAAAATTGCATCACGAATTTTTTCATAAATGAAATATGAAGCGTCATTCTAATTTATGTATTTGCTTGAAATCGCGTTCTTGTTTTGTAATTTTAATTCATTTTTATTGTGTCTGTTGATGATTAATTCGGTTTACTGAATACTGGCTAGTTATGTGTGGGTTATTCATTCGATTAAATTTAGTATTCTGTAAAGTAAATTTAGAATCGTGTAATGTACTAAAAGAATTCGCTAGAAATACAGGCGAGCCACTACTAAAGAAACGAAATGGCTATTTTTGTTTCAGAAATTCTTTTGAACCCAAAAGACATTGGCGTTAAAAACGCCTGTTAGTGCATTTCTGTTGAAATTGAAGAAAACTTTGTTCACTTTTTCTATAATTTTCCGGTTGAAATTAGTGTCTAATTTTATTTTGGTGTTACTAATTATTACTTAAATAGGTGCTGTCGATGACCGATTTAGCATTTAATGGTGAGCGAATTCACACTTACTTAAAACTTAACATGTTTTGAAAACAGTTACTGATACAACGCCTTATCATTTGTAAGTGATAGGAAAATGTTTTGTTGTTAATATTTGTTGGTTAGAAGAATACACTTCATAATTAGTGTTACAGTAAGGTTTTCCCTGAAATAATATAATAGTATGTATTATATCTAATGTGAATATGTAACAAATGATATTGAATATCGTTGGTGCACGCCTTAGATAAGAGATAAGTAAACAGTTTGATTCTGACGTCTGAGCTATTTGAATCCATTAGAAGAACACGTACTAGTATGTATAAATTGTGTAGAGAAGCATAAAAATCTACTAAAGTAGTCATATTCAAATGCCGGCTGAATTTTTCTGTTTTTAGCACACAATCTGGCAACTTTTTACAAATTAATAGGCGATAAAAATGACGATATTGTGACGTAAATCCGTTTTTTCTGTTATCAACCAATTCCTTCTATTTTTTATTGCAACTGTGAATTTTTCATTTAATGGTAATGTACCTACAAAATTATTTATGTTGCGAAGTACCATGAGTACATATTACATTTTAAAGGTTGCAATTATTTATTTCGATAAAATTCTCGCATTTTTAATAAAACTACTTTTAATAAATTGTAAATAATCTCGTGCTTCATAAATATGGAATACTATAAAAGAAATAAAATCTTTTGTGGTTTTACCTTGTAGTTCCTCCAATTATTAGTTGATTTCCGTTTCTTAAGGAATAATCCTCCTGAAAAGAAGATAAAATAAATTGCTTACAGTACATTAGAAATAATATAGAAACGGAAAAAATAAACAACATTAAAATAAACCACTAAATAATAATTCTCTTAAAATTAATGTTACAAATTTTTGTATTTTATTAAAACTACATATTAAAAAATTATTTACTAAATTTTAAATTTTTAAGGGTTTCATACAGATGGGTTTATAATGGGAATGTCAAGTACCATATTTAAAATAAGAAAATTATATGTGAAAAATCAATCTACAATAAAAGAAATCGAGAAAGTCCTTATATAAAATTAAAGGCCTTACATATGTGTGAAAATGAATTTTATTAACTAATATTTTAATTTACGAAACATGAAGTAATAATGTAACCACCCTCAGTGTGTAGCTAAACTTGCATTTAACTAATTTTCTTTAGCTTAACAGTTAAAACACTCATCTAATTACATTTTTTATCAGTCATACATCATGCACTGTTAAATAATTCCGGTGTGTAGGCTGTGTAATGCGTTTATTTGATCCAAATAGATAACCTTTACCCTATAAAAGCCGATTTTTTTTGAGTGACAGTTATTTTCGTATGTCAGTCATTCGTTTAGCTCATGTTAACAAACCCTGGCCCGTTTAGGAATGTTAGCTGCCAATAGATAGGAGCCTTGATTTGCGCCTTGAACAGTGGTATTATAATTGTTATAAATAAACAAAAACTGTTCTTAATTCGGTTGTGTGGGCGTATAATACGATTATTACGCCAAGAGTTGAACAATTAAATTCGTTGATTAGACGCACACATATCAATGTTCATGAATGAATTTACTCATTACAAATTGCAGTAAACGTACTGTAATTTAGCAGAAAATAAATATAAACAGAAACTGTAAGTAATTTTGTAACTTCTGACGAAGTCATAAGCGACGAAACAATAATTGCATACCTTATCATCATCATCATAAGGTCGTCAGTCCTAAGACTGGTTGGACACGCACCTCCACTCTTTCCTATCCTTAGCTAATCTTCGCGTTTCCCTAAAACTACAACATCCCACATCCTTAACTATTTGCGAATAGTAATCTAATGTAGGCCTACATCTACCCCTCCTAACTCCCGTTTCTGCCTTTAATATGTCTCTGACTAGACCTTTATATGTCTGAGAAGGTGTCCTACCAATCTATCTCGCCTATCAGCCACTTCTTCTAATTTTTCGTCTCCTATCTTTATATTCGCTTTTCTTCCCTTGCATAAGTGATAATTGCATACCTACTTTAAATTTTTTCCTTTGTTTATTTAGATGTTACACTCAAGCGAGACACCCTGTATATACACTAAAGAATTAATTTGAAAAGTTGTCTATGGTAGGGTGACACCCCTCCTTTGGTGAGGTTTGCCCTTTGCCCTCCTCACTGATCGTGTCCTATGTTCTCTTTTCGAATGATAAGTTGTCCTACTTTCTAACAATTTCAGCAAAAATTTGTGTGGTTCTGCACCGTACTGTTTAAGCTTTTTTAATATGTATGTTAATCATTAATGTTTGTATTATCTGTAGGTAGGTATATGGTACTTACGATTAGATAATAAATAGTCGAAGTAATTAATTTTTCTAAAAAAGATTGGTTTTGTTCTCAAAAATGCCCGCCATACATAATAATCTACTTATGTATGTACATAGAGAAGGAAGTCAACATGTAGTATATAAGAAAGGAATGTGATAACAATTTGTATGGTAGATATGATTGGGCGACTTACGGGAACAAATACCAAAAATGTCAGACTTGTGTATGCGCTTCTCCGTGGTGGTTTATACCGTTTTCATATACAGTGAACTAGTTTCCACTATTTCCAAATATATAGTGATTGTTTTTATGTATTTTACGTTGATAAGAAGTCACTTCAAGGATTGTTATTTAGCGAGCTTATCTGATAATAAAATGTTGAGGACGAACCTGGAGAGGCACTACAGACTACAGGTAAGGAAAAACGTTCAACAAACATAGAAATTACACATTTGTTTGTCGGCGTTTTTCTTTTTATGTCGGGCGAGCAAAAATGCAAAATTCGGAATATTTTCTTTTAATCACGTCTAATTGAAAATATCTCTTGCTCAGTCCTCAAATAACTGAACTCTCAAATAGATTTAACAAAGCGTGACGCCCCTTAAAAACTTTAAATTGCATTTATTGCTTATAGGAAAACATAGCTGAAGATATATGTATAAAGGACCTCGTCAGGTCCTTACGGAAAATGATTGTGTACCTAATCATACGTGTGTGTTTTCGCAGATCTTCTAAAACCCAATCGGCGTGCGCACGTCATCCTTAAAGATTTCTTATTATAACTCAAATTCACTACCAATATCTCCACTTTCGCATATAATAATTGATATAGCGTATTTACAAACAAACATTGTCCTGATTGTTTTTTATTAGTCGATTAAAAATCAAAGAGATTTGACTACGACCAATGTTGTTACGTTTTTGTATTAAAAATAAACATATTAAATGAACGGTTTTATGTTATTTTCAATCATGTATAAACATTAAACAACCTTATCAAGAACAAGGATGTCTGAAACACATGTAACAAGTGTTTTTATGTATAAAAATAAAAACATTTATGCATAAAATAAAAATATAAAACAGTGGCGTAATGAACCATTAAAGCAAATGTGCAATGGACTAGATTGAATTTTTTTTGCTACAAGGTGTAAGCTTAAGTTTCAATCCTTAGTTTTGTTAGTTAATTTTGATTTTTAACTGAAAAAACGGAGATTATGGAACCCAAAATAAGATTACTTAGTACCATAATACCTGATATAGTAGATATACAGGGCATTAAGATTTTTTATTTTGTTATTGTTTACATTTTTCTCTTTTGATTGCAGGTTATATGAAGTCGAGAAGACGAAGCAGTGATTTAAAAAAATATAAAGGAGTAAATAAAGGTAACATTTTTTTTCCGTTTAATTTATTATTGGTAACAGGGTAACATTACTTGTTATAATTATTGTAACTCTTTTCTCAATAAAAATGCCTGAGACTATCAAAAAGTACTATTTTTTAATATTTATCATGTACTTTTTTATTGTGTAAACTTTAATATTACTCCTGTTTATTTCAGACTCTGAGTGGTGGAAGATGTGGGCTTTGAGAATGGCGATGCCGTTGTTGGGGGTGCTGGTCTGGGTGATCTCCAGCCATGCAGGCACCTTCACACTAGCATCCTTTATACCACACTACTTCGAAGGTACAAGCCGCACTTATACCCTAGTAGTGTTAGTTTAAAAGCACCATGTGTCTATATATGCACATATTAATTTAAATTTCTTATTTATATTATTTATTGAAAAATAACAAAAAGTTCGGGATCAACGTTCTGTTGGAACTTATTTGCTCTCATCAGCACGCCAGTGCTAATAGGATGATACTGATCAAAGTTACTGCGCGGGAAAGAACCTAATGCAAACTTAAAACAAATATTTAGAATTAGTTTTCAAGGAATAGTTCAAAACGTGTTTAATTCTTGACGATATATAGACACATTTTGCTAGATTTAAGAATCCCATAGGGGCAGTGTGTTATCAGAAGGTCTCGCAAGTAGAAACATCATTTATCGAAATGCTGACGATGTCTTATGTATAGGTTGTGATGTAAGTAATGAAAAATCTAGTTGGGCAGTTTATCTAACTAAATAACCTTACCAAAACAAGGAAACCTATACTTAACAGTGTACGGCAATCTAGCACAGATTACGCTCTACAATTGAATTGAAAACGATACATTAAATGTTTTTTATTCCCTTTTGTTGTGTATTTTTATTGTTTACTTGAATTATGACCACTTTATTTTTAGCGCAAAAATTGTTTTTGCATTTAAAATTATTTCGCACCTTTTGCATATTTACGGCGGTGTTTTCATACTTCAGTCTACATTTGTCCTTGAACGTTTTTCAATTATGTTTTATCTCCTATGTACAGTAAATGTTGATCGAAGATGTTTGTTCTGGTATAATTGCCCAAACATGTAAAAAACTAATTATTTATTTTAAACATCGTCAAAAGATTCGGATAACAAAAAGTCTTATTAGGTTTGGGGGGTGGAGCGGAGGGGGCGTCGGAAGGATATGTAATATTGAAAACGACTTTTCCAAATTATTAATTATTTCGATGGGTACAATCTGTTAGAATACTCAAATTGTTTCAGTAGCGCTACTTGTTGGTAGCACATTTTATCTAGTTAAAACATATCGAAATTATTTTCTCCTTAGTTTCACTTTAAAAATAATAATAAAAAAATCTTTGTAGCCAGGATGCAGAATTATCCTGTTTTATACCAGCATTCACTATAGTTTAGTAGTTTCATTAAAAAGATCATGAAATTGAATATCACGGTAGTAATCACTTCTAAAGAGTTTAGATAAATTGTCCTTCCAGTACCCAACATTACTTAAATCAGCTCCTGTAAATAGACATACAAGCAAATGTGCCAGTTAATTCCTGTTACAACCGTCTTCTTTTAGGTTGTTTCATAACGACTAACCAGATAGACAAAATTAAATGTTCACAGAGAAAAGCGATTTTCTCTGTGACTAAAATAATGGATTTCCATTATTTTTGTATGCAAACTAAGGATGTTTTATCCTATTTGTGAATAGTTTGTGTAGAGGTAAGACATTAAAAGAAAAATCGTTAAAAGTTTGTTTGTCTAACAGTTCCTGACATTTTGACCAACATTTTTCTCGGTCTATACAACTTGTCGGGGACTTTATAGGACACTATTTCTAAGGCCATTTTTTGTACACAGTACATGTACTACCTACTCATTTGCACAACAAATTTATCATCAATTTGTATCACTTCGTCCAGATTATGATACTCCATCGTCACCTATACGTAATTTCTTAAAGCGTTTTCTTGAAATAAATGCCTTTAAACGAGAAAATGCGATAAAGCATTTAAATTTGATTTTCCGACTAGGTCAAGAACGGAAAATTGAAATGATCCTTGACGGTACGTGTTCTGTGATACAGAAAGTAGATGTGATCTAAATGGGGGTTGGATATAAGGATGTTTGAAGGCTGATGTACATTCTGAATGCATAATTGTTTAGCTAAAGAAGAAAATTGATCAACAAAACAAAACAAATGTTTGGTTATCGTATATTTACTTTTTATTAAAAAGAAGCGGGTAGTTTATCAATTTTCTTTGAAAATGTGACGATAAAATTATTTTTAAGTTTATTTGT